GTTGCCTTATCTTACTCAATTTGGAAAACCTTTGCACATAAGGCTTTATACAGAAAGCTTCAAAGGAAAAAGTTTCTTAATCTGGCCTAAGGCACAGAGGTCAGAAAAGAAAAAACATCCTCCAAGCAGGTTGAAGGAGAGAAGGGAGAAGGCAGAATTATTGAGGGAAGTGGGGCAAGCTTGGGGTTTCATGCTGTCATGCAACTCACACTGAAGCTTCCAGGTGCCTGTGCGTCTCCATGCAGAGATCTTGAGCCAGCCCAAGTGGAAGTTTGACTCATAATAAACACAGGCTATCAACTGTTGCCTTCTTTTGAGAGACTTGCTGAAAAAACAACTCTGGGAAAACTATTATAGGTTCCTAACCATGACTCCATCTTTTTCCCCCCAAAAAAAATACTCAACTATTAAATCAATGGATTATAGCTATGAGGTTTGGATGACTATTTAGATGGAGAAAAATGTGTTAAGGTTAGAAATGATATTCTTTCCCAAACGCCACTGCTATCTAATAGTTTTCTTTGCCAGCTATACATGACAGGCTTGTGTGTTAAGGGCTGGCTTTATGCAAAAAATATACTTTGCACAAAGTGTATTTTAGTGTGGCCTACCTTCTATGGATCCTGAGTTTTTAATTACCAGCTGTGGTAAAATGAATGATAGATTACTTTCTACCTGCATACTCAAAGCAGTCATGTCCAACCCCTAAAAAAAAAAAAACCCATGGCGTTGGGAAAAGAAGTGGAAAGCTGAAAGGGCACACAATGAATTTCACTGGGAGTTCAGCATGGGGGATTCCTATAGTCAGTTTCTGATGTAGCATCCCTTATGCTCATGACCTTCTTGGAGACAGGGCACAGAGGTGATACCTTAAATACAGGCAGAAATCATCTTTGGGTTCCATTAGCCAATCTTTGATCAGTGGCCTTAGAGCAGGTTCCCTACTATACTGCTTCCTACCTAGAGGGGACCCCGTGGCAGAGCCTGGTGATCCCCACCGATGAGAAGGTGGAGAGGGAGCATAAATCCAGGCTTCTATGTACGAAGACAGGTACTTCATGACAAAAGCTAAATTTGCAGGACACTACCCTACCCCGACAATAGAGATCACACTGGGTATTTTTTTGATAAGTTCCTTAAATTTTTCACTTAAAAAATAATGGAAGTAAAGCTGACATTCTTTGTTGATCCACAGTCTCATACGTTTGATGTAAAACTGCAATAGAGCATTCTTGCATCCTACCAATGTCCAGGCACTAGGGAATGCATAGCCATTGATTGATGCATCTGACACACATGCTGCTCTCTCCACATTTATTGTGTGCCCTGGTCCTGGTTGGGTAAGCTGATCGAAGAATGGCTCTCAGGTGTCTTGGCTGTCTTCCTGACTTCAGCCCAGAATGAAGGCATCCAAATTATTTTTAAATGTCTTTACTGTAACATAAAGTAATTCATTTCTTGTTCTGTCCTTTAACACAAACTTTTCTGTCAACTCTATTTCATTGTTGTTGCAGTTGAAGTATTTCTGTTTAGTTTTTTGTTCAATGTGTAAAGAAACCTGCTGCCATTATTTTACAGAGGAGAAGGGATTTGAAAAGTTTCACGGCTAGTTAGTAGTGCGGCTCAAACTTGACATCAGGATTCCTGACATCTCAGGTAGTTTAAAGATCCCTTTTGGCTTTCAAACAACTCTTTATTTTTACTTTGGTTAATCCTACTTCTTAGCTATCTGCACTCACCATTTCCCTAACATATCCCAAAAGGTAAAAGTTTCATTAAAAGGATTCTAATTAACATTTATAGTACAAATAACAAACATTTTATCATAATTCCTTGGCTTAAATCTTTAAGTATTTGGCTGTTGTTATATAGAAATAAATTTCCAGATGTGAGAATCAGAACCGTATGGAAACGAATCTGGAGAAGTGTTGATTATCCTCATAGGAGCATAAAAACTCAGGATTGGAAGAGATTTTATGGCTCATAGAGTTCAATCTTTAATCTCTGTTTCCATCCCAATACTTGGAAATAAGTCTAGTCTTCCACATGCTAAAATCACACTTTTTGTTACACTTAGCAAACATGTGCTAGGCATTTCTCTGAGTACGTTGTAAGTATTAACTTATGTCATCCTCAGATCAACCCTATGAAGTGGGTACTCTTAATATCCCCATTTCACAGATGGGGAACAGGCACAGGCTGCTAAGGTCATTTGCTGGAGATCACTCAGCTCAGGATAAATGGGAGTCAGGATTTGAGTCTGGCAGTTTGGTTCCAGTGTCTAAGCTCTTTACTACTTTATATCATACTTCGTTGCTCCATCAGATGAAAACAAGGTCAGGCCATGCAAATCCTCTTGGTGGAAATACCAAGGAAAAGCAGCTGCGTCTGGTAGGAAAACCAGAATCTTAGGAACTGTGCAGGAGTCTGGGGCAAAGCAACTAAAAGGCACATGGGACCTCAGAGACAACTTCACTGATGAACCATGTGGTTTTGGCAGGTCTCTGCTCAGAGTTTGGCTTTCCCCTAGTTTAGAGATACTAAACAGCTGAGCTGTTAGTAGTAGCATTTTCAAGGACATATACAGCAATCTCTCTCTTAAGCGCTGTCCACCTGGAATGTTGACACTTGGGTTGGTTTTCAGAGGTGCCAATGGAAGACTCAAAGCCATGAGCCAAGAATGTTTTGGTTTTTCAGGTTTGCTGTTGTTGTTTTTACTTGATCTCTGCTTCTAGCAGATCATTGGTGGTTGCTGTTTATTCAAGGGGGAAAAATAATATTTACGAGTTCCTGCACCGCACCCTCTTTTCTCAGTTTGCTTGGACCTAAGAAATGACAGCTGGGAACCAACTCAGGCCCCAGAAGCACAGATAGAATAAGAAAGTTTGCTTTTATGATTTTTTATCACATCACATTGGGGATTGTGAAGACTGTACCTTTGCCAGGCCCCGCCCTCAGAGAACTCTTGGGGCAGTTACACAGGTAGCGTTTATGCTGTTGCCTAAATGCCATGGGCCATAGCATCTTCTGATCTCTGATACTTCTGCCTCCCTCTGTGATTGATAAGGAACGTTGTGATTACACTGGGCCCATCCTGATGAGTCTTCCCATCTCAAGCGCCTTAATCACATTGGCAAAATCTTATTTGCCACATAAGGTAACATATTCACTGGTTCTGGGAATTAGGATGTGGACATCTTGGGCAGGGGTGCATTCTGCCCCACCTTCCATCTCAGGATTGCCTTCCTCTGCACCATCTCCCACCCCCCACCCCCACTCCTTTATGTACAGGGGCTGTTCCTGCATCCGCTTCTCAGGGGTCCTGGCAGCATCTCTCCCACCACTACCCCAACACCTATGATGTGTTTTAAGAGTTCCTCCCCCAGCCTCAGTCTTGGTGGTGGCCTCATGGTTCTAAGATCTATCAAGAGCTGCTTTTCCTTTCTTTTCATTGCTTCTGGCCGCCTCCTCCTTCCCCACCCACCCCCCAACACATGCTAGCCCAGCCTCCCAGTGGATCTCTAAAGGAGAAAGGCAAAGAGTTATTGCTTTTTAATTACAAGTGCTATTGTAGCATCTATAAGGAAGAACATTTTAAGCTTAATTGAGACCAAATGTGAAGTTAAATTAAATGAATAACTAATTAACGTAATGCTCCTGCATTAGACCCGTGTGAGTGCCGAGGCCCATAGAAGAGGCAGGTACCAGGCCTCTGATGAACAGGCAGTGCCCAGAGCTGCCCAGGTGGGCCTGGGCCCTGGGAGATGGGTGCAAAAGGGCAGACTTCAGGGCTGGGGCTCCCCCAACCATTGGTATTTTCCCAACCCCCCACCTATAGCCCGAGTCCTCATTTCCAAGGCCAGGCTCTGAGCTCCCACATGCCCTTTGCACATGTCTGGCGCCTCACTTACTTGCTGGTAGGAACGATGCCTCGTGTTCATTTTTCAGTCCCTGATGCTGAACACAGTAGGGGCTGATGAGTACTCATGCTAACTTCCTCCCTTTTCCACTTCCCCTTGCTACTTTATCAAACTAACCATCCAACTCCTCTGAATTTTTTCTCGTAAGGAAGAATGATTCTTTCCATTGCTGCTGGAATCGCCCTCCTGCCAGCCCTATCTTTATCTGCTGGACCAATAAACAGTGACACTCTCAACCTGAGCCCTGTATTGTCATATTCCTATCTTATCCCCTAACTAGACAAATTCCTCCAGGCCAGGGAGCATGTTTAATATGTATTTGTCTCTGTTTATACCAACCTTATGATGTAGGTAATGTTGCCATTTTCTAGATGAGGAAGCAGGCTCAAAGCTAGTAGATGGAGAAACTGGGGAAGAGAAGACTGAGAGAGGCTTCTTTCCTCCCCTGACCTGTCTGCAGCAGAAAGCAAGCTGCAAGTCTTTTTCCAAGAGCCCCAGCTCCTAGCCCCCATTCCGGAAGCAGGACAGGCCCACACTGGGCTTTATCATGGGGTTGCATCGCCATCTAGTGGCTCAGGTAAGGAATAAAGTTTCTCCTTAAGCTGGCTCCTCCTAAGGTAAGATGGCAGATAAATCTTTTTGGTCTTGAGAGAAGCTTTCATGAATACTGAACATAATGCAATATATTATAGCTCCTGCCCCGGTGGGATCTGACGACTTGGAGGTCCCTGACTGATTCCTGCTTGGAGAGCTGAAGTGACTATCAAGCAGTACGAGCCCTCCCTGTTTGTTACCGTAGGAGTGTGTGCGACCTGTCTCAGTGTGTTGGCATGTGTGCCCAGCTAACGAGCCACCTGTGCACCTGTGCAGTGCCTTGGGAAGTGCAATGGTTGTATCTTGTGCTCCAAGCTCTGGTTTGCTCCGAGTGTCACCAATGTCACAAGCAGCCCCTCCGGGAATGCCTCTTATCACCGGCCCCAGTATACTGGACCTTGTGGTCCTGGGACACCACCTCGACAACCCATGCGAGCCCTGCTCCCTGTGGCTGAGCAGCCCCTACCAAGGACAAGCACAGGCACGTCTGGTAAAAGGCAATCTGTATTGGTGCCGATGGACAGCTTTAGGGTCAGATGGAGATGCCAAGAGTCAGCCGGGCAGGATTTGGGGATTTGGGGTGGAAGAAGGATGCGTGTCAGGAACACTGGGTAGAAAAGGGAGCTGCATGTGGTGCTGAGCAACTGCACAGGCAGAAGCTGCTTGAATGAACCAGGCAGTGCGCTCATTTCCTTCTGGTCTTGTCACCCTGATGCCAAGGCATAAGTCCTTTTTGTGTCCATTGTCTACTTCATTCCTAGAGTAGAGCTGGCATACAGCTGGCAGTCAGTAACCACTGGCATTTCATCCTCAAAACACTTAATACACACACTGCTATTCTTAGCCATGCCCAGCCCCTCTTTCTATTCGCCCCACAGCACTGGCCCTGATGTCCTTTTCCTCTGAGGACATCAGGGGCTGGGACCAGAGTTAGTCAAGGGCGGCACGGGCCCAAGAGTGAATGCTGCTTTTGTTCTGTGCCAAGGCAGCCCCCTTGCCTCAGCCTAGTCCTGGCCCGGGAAGAAGAACGATGATGTTGGAGCAGGGTGGGTGATGGAGTTCTCAACAGGATCAAATGGAGGGTAGAGGAGGGTCCAACTTAGGGAAATACAGAGAAGGAAAAGACTAAAATTCATGCACAAAGGGAAAAAAGATAGGCTGAGCACTTTTGAAATGGAGTGAGATGCCTACTTATAGGTACAGGCTGATTACAGAGATTAAAATTTAACATGAGAAGGAGAGAAAGACATTTTCCAAGCCATGGCCCTATTAGAGCCTTCTGTCTCGGAATCTAAACAAGTGAGAGTCTGAGCATAACCTTCCCTTATCGATATGGAGACAGCACTCAGCTCTGATCCCCATCCTTTCTGCTTATAGCTTCTAGAGCTCAGGCTCTTGAATCTTCCATTTCCTCCTGCTTGGCAGTTCCCCTCCCATGGACAATCTCCTGTACCCTTAGCAGTCCTATGGCTGGGCTGGGCTGGCTTTGTCTCCCCCATCTGTGGAAGTTTCCATTGTCTTGCCCATGGGGAGCATGTTGGAGACCCAGCCGGGACCCTCCATGCTTTTCTTCCAGTTGGAGCTTCATATTTCTTTGTACCTGCATGAAGAGGAGAGAGGTAATGGAAGAGAAAGTGAGACACAACTTAATAAGCTCTTGCCCAGTGGGGAGAGGAAAGGCAGGTTCCTAGGGTCCCTTAATAATTGCCTTTCATGTCTGCTGTCTATAATTAGAGCTCCCTTTCCCCTCTCAGGCAGAGTATGGCCAGCTGGAATGATATTTACAACCATACAACAATTATGCTGCATTTGACAGCTTTACAAAGCAGCATCGCATACCCCATCTTGTCTCAGCCTCTGATCAGCCCTGCCAGGTATTTAGGGACAAGCACTCCCATTCATTCAGAAAATCTGGGTGGTAGGCCCAAGATCCTATAGGGGAGTGAGCAGAGGAGGCAAAACTGTCCAGGGATTTTGGATTCCAAGCCCAGTGCTCTGTCTGCTCAAATGACTGATGCCCCTGAAACAGGCCTTTCCACTGAGGGACCAGCGTGGAACGGTGGTGGTACAGAGAAAAACAAACTACCCTAAGGCCCAGTTCGGTGTCAGGCTGTGCTGGGATGAGCTGAGGCCTTGGGCATATTCCCTGAGTTCCATTCTCTCACCTCTAATTGAGAGATTACTGAGAAGTAAGCTAAGATATCTAAAGCTGGACAAAATTCCAGGCACAGAGTAGTTGCTCATTAAATATTTCTTCTTTTCCCTTCTGCTGCTTTTCTTCCCCTTCCTGCCTCCCCTCAGGCCTGGCCCCAGGGGAAGTAGCTCTGCATCTGCCTGAGAACTCCAGGGCACAGCAGGACAGGGGCTGGAATGCTTCCTGCTTCCAGGGTGTCTTTCTGCTCTCCATTTTCGCTGGGGCTGGTGTCCTCCACAAGGGCAAGTGCTTCCCGACAAATAGCTGGTTACCATGACCCCAGGTGCCTTCTCACATTCACCATCCAGCCCAGGTGCACGGCTCCCGCCAGCTCCTCATTGGCAAGAGGCTCCTGCTCAGCACGGCCAAGGGAGAGGGTCACCTGGCCACTAGACCACCAGCACCAGCAGGTAGCCTCAGCCTCTGGCCAGCCAATGCTTCCAGCCACAACCTATTTGTGCCACCTCCACACCGGCCACCACCAGACACCAGGCAGAAAGCACAGCAGGCCAGCCACCGGCACCTGATTTGAATTTTCCTTTAGAGGCTTTGATTGGTAGTTGCTCGTTTCTGCATACCCCAGGCAGAAGGGCCAGATGGCCTTGGGTTCTGAACTTCAGGAAGCACCTGGTGCTCAGTCTGAGTTCCCAGGGAAAACAATTTCCCCATCTCTGCCTCTTCTGTTCCCTAAAACTCTCCCCAGGGGAAGAGGCTGCCAACCTCTGCGGCATCTCAGACCCCTTGGGAAACACTTGCCAAGCACCATGCTTTGCTTGGGTTGAGAGTCTTTAGAACTGGCTTCCAGGAAAACAGAGAAAGTTGGAAAATACCACACAGGAGAGAGGATTTGCACGCAGACCCTGTTCTGACAGCACATCAGTCACAGACCTGAAGCAAATACTCACAAGAGTCATGAGACTTGAGGAAAATACTATCGCGCGTGGGTTAGGGCCACATTAGAGCTATGGAGACACATGGGGACAACAGAGACAGGTTAGTGGGGCTGGAGCGCGGCGGGGGTTCACACGGCACAGCCAGGGGTGGGCTCAGCGCTCCCCAGGTCTGGGCTGGGCAAGCCTCAGACTGGGTATGGAGAGACTGAGCACTGATCCCCACAAGAACTGAGGTTGGCAGAGGGGCAGCTTCAGCTCGCTGGAGGACTCACCCTCTGTCTCTGGTCAGGGATGACTTCCAGGCCAGGATCTCTTTGTACACCAACCGGCAGAGGAACTGCAGGGAGCCCAGGGCGCAGAGGGAAGGGAGGGCACCATTAGCACTGAGCACTTGGTTCCCAGTGTCAGGGGACCAGCGGGCTGTCACTGGGCAGGGGTCACCCATGGGCGGTGAAGTGCAGCTGTTCTCATTGTCCCGGAACCCCCAGTGGCCAATGCTTTGGACCTCCAGCCTGGGGGCACAGAGCATCCCGCAGTACCCATCAGTGTACCCCCAGAACTCTCACCAAGCAGGCCAGGATGTCGGCAGAGATGAGCATGTAGAACACGTTGTTCCAGCCTGTGGGGGAGATGAGCCCGGCCAGCAGAGGCCCCAGAGCCGCGCCTGCGCAGAACAGCGTCGTGAGGAGGGGCTCCCTCACCTGTCCTGCCCACCTGCGGGCGGTGAAGTGTAGCGGGGGTCTGCCCTGGACAAGGCTCAGCTGTGAGGGGCCAAGAGCTCGTCACATACCTATGGAACCAGTGCCATCGATGATGGCCGTGACGGTGGACAGGGCCTTGGCGTTGCCCTGCAGGCTCTTGTGAGTGCCCTGGGGAGAGACAGTGGAGAGGGGCCCAGCTGGGCAGCAGCCCCGAGCCAGCGAACCAGAGAGGGAAATGGATGCAGAGACAGTGGCCTTGACCCAGCCCTCAGCCCAGCTTACCAGGTCAGCGGAGACCGCAGTGGTGATGAGCGCGTAAGGGCCGTTGACCAGCGCCCCGCAGACGATCAGCATCACTGGGCGTGAGCAGAGACGCCCTTAGAGAGGAGGGGCCGCCACGCCCCAGCCCCCAGGCAGGAGCACCCCAGGCCCCCCACCCCCGAAGTCCCTCCACCCATGCCCCTCAGGGGGCCCCCAAGGCGTTGCCTTTCCCGGGGACTGGCAGCACTTGCGACGTCCTCCTCACCTATGGAGCTGGTGACCCCGTTCTGGCCAATGTAGTTGTACAGGAACATCTGAGAGAGGAGCAGGCGAGGCACAGTCACCAGGCCCGCCCCTGCCAGACGGGAGGCCGAGGTCGTACAACCCGCCCTGCCCCAGAGCTCCGCAGGTCATCTTATTCTTTTTCCCTTGAACAGCCAGACTTCTCTGGTCTTAATCCAGGGATAGAAGTGCTAAAACCTGGTCATCTGTTGTTTCCCTTTCCCCAAACAGTCTTCTCTCATATCTACCCTCAATCTCCTCTCCTTTCCTTGTTCGAGAAGTTTAGCAGCTGGTCTCCGTCAATGTCAGCCAGTCACTAATCCCTTTCCCAAACCCTCAGTCTGGATGTCTTTCCAGGTGCCTGCCCCTCTGCTGAGCCTGGCTTCTCCTCCCCCGACGTGTGCACAGAGACAGCATGTGTGTAAACCACGCATGTGCACACAGGGCAGAGGCCGCACGGTCCCTGCTCTCGTGCTCGTGCACTTTGCCCTTGAGTTATACGCACCATGGGGGCAGCCAAGATCAGCATGATGCAGCAAGTGGTGGCCCTGCCGTTGGTGTGGTCAGAGATGAGCCCCGCCATGATGCCGCCTGGAACACACACCCCCTCACACACTGCCACCCACAGAGGACCTCGCCGTCCCGTCACCTGCTACCCAGCTCTGCCCCGTCACCCTGCCCAGCGCTGGCCTGGCATTAAGAACCAGCAGAGACAGTAGAGAGGGGAGGCCCAGCTGAGCGGCAGCACCAAGCAAATGAACCAGAATGGGAGCAGGGCTGACTCCGGGAAGGTGGTGCCTCCTCTGCAGCCCTCCCCAGCACCTGTCACTACAGGAAGACCAAACACAAGGGCCATCTTTCTTAGGCCAACCCAGCCAGGCAGGAACAGAACTGAGAATAAACCCAGGAGCCTTTTTTGTCCCTAGTGCCACCTGTCCAGGTCACAGCCCAATGGGCCTGTCCCTTCTTTCTGCTCCCCACGAGAGAAGAGGGGAAGGCAGCCTACTGGCAAAGTAGGGCAGGGCCTCACCTATGATGCCACCAACATCGAAGAGCGTAGATAGGTCCCCAGCCTCCTTGGCACTAAAGTGAGCTGTGGAACACACAGAGACGTGGTCAAACCTGGCGGCTCAGGGCAGACATCCTGGAGTGCCACCACCAGCAGAATCCCTGCAGAGCACTGACCCCAGCCCAGAGCCTCCTTTTCTGAGGAAGGAGCCGAGGACCGGTCAGGGTCCCAGAGTGAGTGTGCAGCAGTTTAGGACGGATGCTCTTCTGGCCCCCAGCAGGATGACCTTGACCACTTAGAGCAGCCCCTCCCCTGAGAGCCCTGGGACCTGGATCTGAGAACCCTGCCCCGCCCCCCTGCCCCTGCGACCTTTTCCCTGGAGCACAGCAGCCCTCCATGAACCCCCGGCCCAGCCCCACTAGCAGCAGGTGGACTACAAGCTGCTCACATCTACCTGTGCTCACAAACAGAGCCAGGAAGAAAACTTGCAGGAAAATGGGGACCTTGGGTCATAGGCCTTGGCTATGGTTTAGAAAAAGCAATGTCTAGAAGCTTGAATTGTAGCCCCACCTTCAAGATTGCTTCATACTCTGAAGTCAGCATCAAGGCCACAGCACAAAGAGTCAAATGTCCACCGCCCTAGCTTTCCACTGTCCCAGAGAGAGGCCCACAGGTACAGCTGCAGGGGAGCTACAGCTTAAGACCTAGCTGTGACTAATTCCTGCAGTATGCCGTTCAGAGCAAGTACTGTGTGCCGCAAGGTGGTGGTGTCCCCCTCAGGGCTGTGGGCAGGGCGGCAGCTGGGTGAGAGGTCCCGGCCCTGCTGGAGCTGGGAGGCTCCTGGGGGGAGGGGAGGGTGGGGCGGGCTGCTCCTTGGCAGAGCTTTGTGTTCCTGCTCCAGCTAAGCTCCAGCTAGGTTCCAAGGGAGGAAGGTGGCTGGAGTCAGGATCTAGGGGGCCGTGTACAGGGTAATCCTGCCTATATACTGTCATCTCCTGTGTCACCATGACACAACGAGCTTCCTCTTCTACCAGAGACGGCCTTGGCCTCCTTAAGACCCCTTCTCCATGCACTCACCCACATTGAAGATGTAGAGTGGGAGCCAGTAGAGGAAGGTGTAACTGACCAGCTTGGCAAAGAGCAGACACAAAGAGAACTCGATCACGCCCTGGGGAGCAGGACAGAGGGCATGATGGGAAGGGGCCCAAGAGATCCTGGGCCTGTGGCATTCCCAAGGGCTGGCTTGGCACCACCCAGTACTTTTCCCCACCTGCCACGGCAATCAGCCTCAGATACACACCCAACCTCAACGAAAGCCCTGTGGCTGCTGCTCAGTGTTGTTTCTAGACAAGTCTCCCTGAGCAAGCCACCCACCTCACACATCTCCTGTAAAGAAATTCTGGAAACCGTAGATCCCCCAAGCACCCCATCTCCTGATATCCAACAGAAAAGTCTGGAAAGCACCCCTCTCCCCTCCTTTCCACACATTTCTCACCGGGATCCGGAGTGCCCCGAGGAAGCTGATGGCGGCAGGCTCCTCACATGACTCCCTGGAGCATCTGGTTGCAGACTCAAGGCTACTCTCCCTGTTAGAGTAGGGGCTCTTCCCAGGGTCCTCAGGGTTGTCCTGGTCCTCGCCCGGCCCACCCTGAGCAGAGGAGAGGAACCCTTGCTGGGCATGTCCTTGTACCCCTTCCACCGGCCGGAGGGGCAGCCCAGGCTGGAGGAGGCACATGTCTCTCTCCTGGCCCGACTGACCTGCCAGGCCCATCAGATCGTGCGGGACCAACCCAAGGCCTGACATCGGGTCTGAAATCCCTGGGGACCAGGGCTCCCTGCAGCAGCTCCCCAGTCCTGTCTGGGTCCAGCCCTCTGGAGTGGGAGGGCAGGGATGGGACCGGGAGGGTTCACACTCACATGGTGCTGAGGAGGGGTGCAGTCCACATCTTCCGGGTCTGGAAAAAGAAACCTTCTAAGAAGCTTCCCAACAGGCCAGGCCCTCACCTTGCACTGGTCTGAACTGTCCTGGGAGCCAGCCCCACCCTCTACCCCTAAGGTGGCCAGTGTAGGTCCCTGCAGGAGGGAGCAGGAATGGGGCTCAGGAGACCAGGTGTCTGGGCCTGGCTCTCCTAACAGCCAGCGGTGTCACCTGTGTCTCTGGGACTTCAGTGCTCCTAGCTAGAGTGGCTATAATGCCTGGCCTGGCTGACAAAGCTGTCAGGGAAAGAGATGGTGACACCTGTCTGCACCAAATGCAAGAGATGGTTACTACAGGAATGTTCCAGAACTCCGCCTTCCCCTTTCACACGTCTCAGATTCAACCACTGCTTGCCTGCCCATCATGGGCCAGGCGCTTAAACCACAGTGTCTCACTTAACCCTGCAGAAATCTTATGAAGTGCATACGACTATTGTTATTTTACAAAAAAGAAAACGGAGGCTCTGAGAGGTGGTTTGTCCAAAGTCACACAGCTGGTCCTCCCACTCTGTGGCCGGCAAGCTTTCCAGGGGACCCAGCTGCCTCCTCCCCAAAACAGAGCACTTGGAGGCTCACTCACATTCGATGAGGAAGAGGAAGGTGAGGACGCCTACGGCAGCAGTAACGATGCCAGGCACGATGAACGACAGGCCCCAGTCGTCGTTCACCCAGACACCAGCGATCAGGGAGCCCAGGATGTTGCCCACGGACGTGTGGGAGTTCCACACGCCCATGATGAGGCCTCGCCTGCAGGGGAGGGCAGGCAGGAGAGCAGGAAAAGTAAAAAATGAGGCGCCCTGTTCTCAGCAGCTGCCCTGGCCTAGCTCGAAAGGAGGGCTGCCCACAGCTCCCACATGGCTCCAGGACCACAGCCAGCGAGGAGGGGAGGCCCTTGGTGGATGGGGCCCGCACCCCATGCCCAGCTCCCTGGGCGAGCACCGAGGGCGGGCCCCGTGGTCTCGCTCTGAGGCAGTGTCCTCACTAGGGGATGATTCTGCCCCAGGGGGACATCTGGTAATGGCTGGAGACGGTCACAACTCAGGGTGTGCTCCTGGCATCCAGTGGGCAGATGCCACAGATGCTACTAGACCCCCTGCAATGCCTAGGACAGCCCGAGCCAGGCTCTGACAGCCCAGGAGGGCAACGGTGCCGGGCATGGGAACCCTGCCCTAAAGCAACTTATTCTGCACACAAACCAGTTCAAGAAAAAAAGTTTTGTAGGCTTTTGTCTTCATTCAAAATGGAAATGCATCTACTATGAGAAAAAAATATAACTAAAGCTGCCTGTTCTATGGGTCAAAGCCTCGCCAGCGGGAAAGTCAGCACCGCTCTCTAGCTGCCGGAGCGCTGCCCGGATCTCAGTGCGTGAACGGCAGCGACACGGAGGCAGTGTGCTCCTCTTTCCCCCTGAAATTACATTAGAGGCCACGAGTGGCCGCCTGGGGACCCCAGCCCTCTGCATCCTTCCCACTCCTCCTCCTCGGGCACAAACTCACTTTCCCTTGCCGAACCAGTTGCCGACACAGGCCACCACGGAGGGCCAGCCTGTGGTCTGGACGAGTCCATTGCAGATCTGCAGGGAGCAGGACAGTGGGAATGGGCCCGGGCCGCGCTGCTGGCCCCACGCCCCGCCGCTCTGGGTCGAGGGGCTTCAACAGCAAAGCTGAGGGGCCCCACGCCCCGCACTGCCCACCCTGCCCATGCCCCATGCGCACGTCCACACACACCCAACGCCACCAGCTGGCTTTTCCTCCAGCTCAAGGCTGTTCAGGCAGAGGCCAGCCCCAAGTGCAGGGGAAGTGACGAGTGAATGAAGGCACGTGAGACTGGGAGGCAGGCCCCAGCGCAGTGTGATAGAGCAGTGCTGGGCAGGGGACAGGAGTCCAGCCCCAGCCCTCTGTGGCCTGGGAGTGCCGGGGAGGGACCAGGGGTCTCCAGGGTCCTTTCTGAGACAAAAACAGGCCTGAGTGTGAGACAGAGACTCATACCTGCATGAGCACAAAGTACCAGAGCATATGGATGTTCCAGAAATATCCCAAGCCAAAGAGCGAGGTGAAGAGGCCACTGAGCAGCATTCCTGCTGAGAGGTAGTAGCGGAGGGGGAGCCGCTCCCCGAACATCCCACTGGTGAGGAGAGGTGGATTTGTGGTCAGCCCCCTCCCTGTCCACTCCCTGGCGCTCTACTGCCCTGTTCCTCCCTGCCACACTATGACCTCCCTGCGCCACTCGTCCGGGTGGCCTCAGTGCCCCACCAGCCAGACTCCCGCGCTTGCCCTGGCACTGCCGGCCATGCTCTGCGATGTGGGTGTTGCTCATTTTCCTCCCGCTTGGGTGGCACTCCCTGCCACCCCTGCCACTCAGAGCAGTCTCTTCTGTCACTTTTATGGGCCCAGCTGCCACCCAAGCTGCCACCCATATGCTGAACAGCCCCAACCACTGATCTCCAGACGTGATCTGTCTCCCAGAGTTTCAGGGTCATATCCAGACGCCTTCTGGACACCTTTCCTCGAAGCCCCCAAAGCATTTGAAACTCAACACTTGAACACTGAACTCCTCTTCCTTCTCCTGCCACCCAGCCCTGCACCCCTCATCTGAGGGAAAGCTGCCCCTTGGCCACTCAGGCCACGCCAGGCTGCTCCCTCAGTCTCTCGTCTGTCTTTCCACCCCTCACAGTCAGTCTCCAAGGCCACCCACGCTACCTCCTAACTAGTTCTCCGGGATGTTGGTCCTTTTGCGTGTCCATACTGCTGCCGTAACACAAGCTCTCCTCACACCTGCCCCGTGGCGTGACCAGCCTCCCCCTCTCTCCAGTCCGCCTCACGGCCCTCTCAGCTCGCTCGCTCTGAAACGCCAGTCTGAACAGGACTCCCCGAGGAAAGCCCTTCCGCGCGTGGCTCCCAGGCCCTCTGCAAATGACCTTCAGGCCTGCTAAGACCTTCCTCAAATTTTTCCTAAGCCTGTTAGCAGTTCCTCCCCTGGCTCACGCCATTCACGGTTCCTGCTTTCTCATACTGGCCCTTCTGCCTGGGCCACCTTCTCCACCGGAAACCCACCTAACCTTCCCAGTTCACGTATCATCTCATCTAAGAAACCTTCCCTAACCCCTCCATTCGCCCCAGCTTGGGCTACATGACTGCGTCTGAGCTCCCAGAGCACCTGATGGCCACCTCTGTCGCAGAGCCATCACACAGTTTTGTCACTAGCTGCTGATGTATCGGTCACCCCCACCAGCCTTGAGCTCTCTGAAGGCGGCACCCTGCTTTAGTCATCGCGGATTCCTGGCAACGACACTGCGCTTCTGTGGGAAGCCCATGCTTGCTGCCCAGTGTCGCCACAGCCCAGGACGGGGATTGTCCCAGCCATCTCTGCATCCAGGGTCATCCTTCAAGGATCCCGGTCCCCACCTGCCAACACTGCTATCTGGGTGAATAAACTCAAGAGGAGCTTCCAGGAAAACCCTTCCAGGAAAAAGAACTACTGACAGCGGGACCCTAGCAGGTGAAGGGCGGCCTTGGCGACCGCGGTGAGGGGGGGATGGCTGTGGGCAAACTGTGTGTGCAGAAATCTCGGTCTCACATGCACCTAGACGAGCCGTCACTCCCCCGAGGGGCTTACTTCCACCCGGCTGCCCCAGCTTTGTCAAGGGGAGGCAGCAGCTCTGAGCTGTCCTATCTGCATGGTCACAGGCTGGGCCTGTCATTACCTGATGAACATGCCAATGGCATAGGCCACCAGGAAGGCGTTGTCCACGGCCCCCAGTAACTCCTTGTAGTCGTCTTTGTCTGAAAGCAGATGGGAGAGACAGAAAGCTGCAGGAAGTGCCCTCTGGCTCGGGATAAGCCCTTCTTGAGGAGGAGGGGATGGGGATTTGGGAAGGGCAACCTGCCCTGTTCTTACCAAATGGGGCCCAGCTGCACCACGTGGTGTCATTGAGACTGTAGGTATCATTGTTAGGTCTAATCAGCTCCGAGCAGTTCTGGTGCAGCCGGCTCTGGAGAGGCAATGGGACACGCAGGTCAGGTGTCACGGCATTGCCCCAGAGCCCACTTGCTCCAAAGGGGAGCAGGCAACCGCCCATCCCAACCACACCAGGGCTGCTGCCTCCCTCCAGATTCCACGCTGCCCCCTGCTGGCAGCTCCTGCAGGAGCTGACTATAGGGCAAAGTGGCCACATCAGACCCACGAGGGTCCCTGCTCTCCTACTCCATCCACACCCACCCACACAGCCGTCTCGGTGAATAAACTCCAAAGGAGCTCCCAGGAAACACTTCTGGGCAAGGGCCGCTGAAAGTGGGCACCTGCCAAGGCAAGGGAGCAGTCTGGCCACCGTGGTAAGGGAATGGGGATGGTTACAGACTGAGCTCTGGCCCTTCTATCGGAGGCCTGGCATCTGCTACACCCTTCCTCGCCAGCTGGCCCAGCCTCACCTTGACCACACTGATGGGCTTCCTGGACATGTGGTAACAGGTATAGATGAGGAAGGTTAGCAGCAGGATGAAGCCTCGGAACCTGCAGGCAGAGACGGGCGTCAGGGCTGGCTGCAGGTCGGCTGGCTGCAGGCTGGGGGCCAGCATCCACCCACCATCTGGCAGCCCCAGGGCCTCAGCACCACCAAGCTTTTCCCGTCAGGCTCCCCTTCCAGACACAAGTTCTTCGGGGCAGAGGCCAAGGGGAGGCCAGGAACAGATGCCAGAGGCCAGGGTGCTCAGGGTGACCTGCCTCCCCAGTGACCTGTCCTAGTGCCTGGGTCCTCTGACAGAGCCGGCTCAGCACTCAGCCCCTCCTGCTGCCCTGCCCACCTGCCAGCGCCTCGACCTTTCTTTGGCATCGCTGAGGTAGGGGTGCCTCTGTGTGTGGGGGGGGGCAGAGGTGGGGGAGGAGTTGGAGTAATTTTTAAAGTGTCAGAAAAGATGGGGGTGGGAGGCAGGAGAAGCAGGAGAAGGGTCTGTCTTTAAAGCAAGGTCAGCCAGGCGCGGTGGCCCACGCCTGTAATCCTAGCACTCTGGGAGGCTGAGGCGGGTGGATCGTTTGAGCTCAGGAGTTCGAGACCAGCCTGAGCAAGAGTGAGACCCTGTCTCTACTGAAAATAGAAAGAAATTAATTTGACAGCTAAAAATATATAGAAAAAACTAGCTGGGCATGGCGGCACATGCCTGTAGTCCCAACTACTCCGGAGGCTGAGGCAAGAGGATCTCTTGAGCCCAGGAGTTTGAGGTTGCTGTGAGCTAGGCTGACACCACGGCACCCAAGCCAGGGCAACAAGAGTGAGATTCTGTCTTCAAAATAAATAAATGATAAGGCGAGGCCGACACTCCTCTTAAGCTTAGAGCACAGCAGACACAGGGCCTGCTTCAGCCCAGACCATAGCTGGAGGGAGTCAGCAGCGGGACAGCTGGTGACAGAGCCAAGTCCTCCTCCCAGCCCCACTGCGTCCGTTCCACTGGACAGAAAGCCCATTCTTTCCATGTGTGGCTCACATGTCGCGTGTGCCCCATGCCTCATCCCACGCACAGGTCTGGGGTGGAAAGAGCAGTCCGGACAGGCTCCACTCACAGTTTCCGCGGCGCCAGCCCTCCCCACTCCTGAGGCCTGCAGAAGGCCCCTGAGCCTCCTGAGTCACTCACTGTCTGCGTGCCCAGCAGGGCATCAGCTGAGCCCAGTCAGCAGGCAGGGGCCAGGAAACACATGGAAAATAGACCTCAGAATGGGCCCCTGCCCAGGAGGAAGGGCCAGGCGTCAGGGAAGACCCAGAACCATTACCGATCTCGTGGAGAGGGGTGGGAGGGTACTGCAGCCCTTCCATCCCTGGCTCCATGAGCCTGAGGCAGGACACCGGGTGCTCACTCTGCCCTCCCAAAGAGTCTGCCTCTGAACCCCAGACTCACTTCCCCAAACGGCCATGAAGCAACGCAGGCTACCACTTGTGGAACAAAGGGGTATTTCAGCGAAGCCTGAATTTGAGTAGGGCTACCAGGCCCCTTCTCATGCCATCCCCAGACTGAGCTTCTTTTCTGGGACCCCCATAGTTCATCTTAAGAGAATGAAACCGCACTTGCCCTCTCCATTACTTTGCTAAATAATTATCAGTGCCTTTCCATCCCATCAAGCATGAGATTCCAACTACATAGTCTGGACTGCAGGCAGCTTCTCTGGCTGCCAGTTTCTGAAGGTGCATGGGCAGGATCACAGAGGTCCCTAGGGATGGTAACTGACATCAGCAAGCTTGGTGGCAGCAATGTCTTATGGGTTCTACCACTTGCCATATGGCTCATGACTCCTTGTTCAGGGACTTCTAACCTCTGGGAGAAGTCCTCTGAGATAATTTGGAAAGGGTGTCCAGCTGGCCTTCTGCAAAGAGCAATAGATGGAAGGAAACTGTAGCCCACAGCTAATGCCCTCCTGGAGTCGGCCGGGCGCACTGCCCGGTCTAGGCAACAGCAGCCTTGAGTGATGCTTGTTGCTAATTTCCTGTGTAACCCCATGCAAGTTCCTAAGCCTTTTTTGCCTCTGGTTTCCTCATTGGTTGCACATGGATGACAGCATCAACCCCATCTATCTCACTAGACAAGTGGACACTATAGTATGCTCTAGTCCCTGGGTCCCTGGATGTGCCACCTTTAAGACCCCCAGCTCAGCTGAGCCTACCTTGGCTGACCACACGGGTGTGCTGGGGCCCTTGCCAAGATGTTTGTCCATTGAGCATGGTGACAAATCAGACCCTCTCTGGGTCTGAGAGATTGCCATGGCCTTGAGGCCCCACTGGGGCACCTGGCTGTGAGTGGTCTCCCATGACAGGCCTGGCAGTGAGGCCCTTGCCAGATCTGGGCCCCCAGTGCTGACTGGGAAGCCAGGATGTGCCTCAGAAGATATGCTGAGCCCTCCCAGGGCTGGTCAGTGACAATGGGGGCCCAAAGGAACAGTGTGGCTGCCAGCACCCTTTCTCCTTCCACCGGCCACCATGCTGCTTCAACCCAAGGCCTCAGTCCCCCTCCCCTGCCTGTCTCCTTCCTGTGGTCCAAGTGTTCTTCCCCTCCTGTCCCTTTCGTCTGGAGTCCTGGCCCTCAACCCTTGTAGGAGATGCTGTACCAGAGTGCGACAAACTCATGCCTGTTTCTAACATCCTGGTTCTCTTTGGCAGAAACAAGACTGCTCTCCTATCCACCCTGTGCCCATCCTGTGCCGGGCTCCATGCTACGGATCCAGCAATAGCAAGAGAAATCACAGAGGGTCTCAACCCCTTCGAGCACAGGGGTCGGGGAAAGAGACAGAACTGGTGTGACGGTGCCATAGACGACAGCATTCCTGGGTGACATGGGAGCACAGAAGAGGGACAGTCAGCCCAGCCAGATGACAGCAGCATCAGGAAAGGATTCCAGGAGGTGAGGCTTCAGCTGCCTCTTCAAAAACAAGCAGGAGGGGCCGGGTGCAGTGGCTCACGCCTGTAATCCTAGCACTCTGGGAGGCCGAGGCGGGAGGATCGCTCAAGGTCAGGAGTTCAAAACCAGCCTGAGCAAGAGCGAGCCCCCGTTTCTACTAAAAATAGAAAGAAATTAATTGGCCAACTAAAAATATATAGAAAAACTTAGCCAGACGTGGTGGCACATTCCTGTAGTCCCAGCTACTCAGGAGGCTGAGGCAGAAGAATGGCTTGAGCCCAGGAGTTGGTTGGAGGTTGCTGTGAGCTAGGCTGATGGCATGACACTCTAGCCCGGGCAACAGAGTGAGACTCTGTCTCAAAAAAAAACAAACAAGCAGGAGGTGGCCAGGCCAATGAGGGCCAGGGCAGGGAGGGTGTGCCCGGGAGAGGAAACAGCATGTGCACAAGCATGGAGGCTTGAAATAACACTACTTGTCTTTGGAACTCTGTGCTGTCCAAGATATTTGATGGTGGGGTAGAGCCGAGCATGGAAGCAGTGGTGTCGGGCCAGGCCACGCAGGGCGCTGGGTACCGAGCTGTGGAGTGCAGGCTACCTCTCGAGGGTGATGGGAAGCTAGTGAGAGGGCTGGGATTTCCTAGGCCAGGGGGCGTCCGACACCATCCAGGTAAAGACCCAGGGCTCTCCCCTGTGGACTTTGGCAGGAAGCCCCACACAGTTTCCTCGCTGAAGAAGGGCCAGCTCCCTGTGCCTTTTCCATCCTGCCCGCCACTCCCCGGCACGTGGCAGCACCCAGAGGACCCTGCGTGGTGTATTTCTAGGAGCCGATGTCTATAAGAGAAAAGAGCAAGGACTCAGGAATCACGCAAAAGGTGGTTTCATTCCTTAAATCCATTTGGTTATCTGAAAAGCAGAGAGCTTATTACCTTTCTCATAGAACTACTGACAGGTTAATGAGATGATGTATGTAACAGGTCTTCAGTTGTTCCCAACATCCAGTGGGCACTTAAAACTGACAGCCAGTATGTTTCCGATTTTTAGATGAGGAAGAAGAGGTGGTCCATGCTGCTGTGTTAGGGGTGCAGAATGGGGTCGGAGTCTGGCACCAAGCCCCTCTGGGTGTTGGGAGTTCCAGGTAGATTCACCTGGAAGGTAGAGATTTGGATACCAGTATGGCCCTCTCCTGCCTACCTCCCTACTGTGCATACGGGGGTCTAGATGAAAATGAAGACCCCTAGAGCCCTCCCCTTGCCTGGGATGGGTTTGAGTGTCTCTGGGGTGGGGGGATGGCTGCTGGGGCCTCCCCACAGTGCTCCCTCAGGAGAGACAGGGAGACCGGCAGGTGTCCACACTGGTAGCCCTGCTAGATCCCAGGATTCCAGCCCTGCCCTCCTCCCCAGACTGGTCTGACTTCCCTCTTAACTCTGACACCCAAGATAGCAGGAAAGGCATGATTCCTGGGGGCAGGAGGTCCTCAACTGTGTGATACGAGGCTTCGCACTGGGACTTCCTGCCTGGACTCCACAGAAATGGCAGGACAAGCTCCTAGTCATTCCACAACCTGAGCACAGAGCACTTGGAGCCTGGCCTCCTCCTCTTTGCCTGGTGTTCTTCCCATCCACTTTGGCAGGTGTTCTGAGCAAAAGGCCAAGGGGCCATAATTCAAAGGGCCTGGGTATATGGGTCCGATTAAGGTCTAGCTAGGCCGAGGCCAGGCTGCCAAGTGACACTAACTCACACAAGGGCGGCTGACATGTTCCTCTGGTGTGTAGAACCCATCAGTTTCACTTCTCTTCTCACAAGCCCTTCCTCATGAATCGAGGGGTCCAGAAGAGGAGACGGGGACAAAATACATACAGTTTGGCCTTGCCTAGCTAGCCCTGGGGTGGCTATGAGGGAAGGGATGGCAGCCAGCAGGCCAAGGACCAAAGGCCATGCTGGGCAAGGCCCCCACACCATTCCAGGTGGGGCTGGCTGCCCCGTGACCCTCTAAGTCTTTGTTAGCAAAAGTGGCACTTCTTAGAGTCCCACCTGCTCCCACCCCATACTGGTTACTGAATGACCGAGTCAGACAGAGGTGGACTGTCTTTTAACTACGGCTGACAGTCCAACTTATTCTTTTGAAGGAGCTCAACACTAGCTTTATCGACCTTGTTAAAACTTTGCACTAGAAATTCTTCTGGAGTAGGAACAAGGAACAGCGTCCCAAAGCGGCAACAGAATAAAGACAAACAAACAAACAAAAACCCCAAAGGACCTGCCACCACCACTACAACAACAGAAAACCAAGAAGAAACAACATAGCTGAGGGACACTGACCTTAGGAGATGGTACAAACAGGCCCCCTTTCCCTGGTGGCTACCTTGTCACCCCATAGTCCAGGCTGGCTGTGGCTGCAGGTGACCTTGGCACTTGCCCTGAGGAAATGGGCTTGGTGGCCTGTTCTTGGATTTGCCTGGTCTGAGACTGGGCAGATCTGAAAAGGATAGAGGGCTGAGCGTGCTAAGTACCAGGCTAGGCCGATGGTGACAGTCCCCCCCTGCCCCGCCCTGTCCCTGCCAAGTCCTCCATTGCCACGGGAGGTATCCTGTGGGGAGAGGCCAGCCAGGAACAGGTCCACAGGCCAGAACCCTGAGCCAGGCCTTCAGTGCACCTGAGGGGAAGGCCGGTCCAGGAGGGCGCTGAGAACGGCAGGCACGAAGGTCTCCAGGGCGAGAGCCAGCCCGGGGAGCCATCTCCCGTTGCCCTTCCTCCAGCTGGGACGCAGGGCTTGGCCCCAAGATCCTTCCTGGGGAAGGGAGCCATTGGCTAGTGGCCACAAGGAACTCAGGACTCAGAAGAGATTGGTGGCTAGGGTGATGATCTGGTGATCTTTTTCAGGAAAGAGGCAAAGACAGTACAGGTTGCTTTGCTTTGAGAAGAAAGCGGAGTGGGGGCAGCCTGAATGCTCCTACCGCCCTCAGCTCAGCGCGACCTTCTGTTTAAGCCGCTGGGGTCACTGAGGAAGAGTGTGAGAGCTGGCGGGTGTGGAAGAGGTGGCTGGCGGGTATGAAGTGGGCCTCTCTTCTGAAGAAAGGTTGTGTAAACAGCACGGGTGGAAGTGTGTTGGCGATGGCAGAGCTGTGGCCCTGCCCGGGGGCAAGAGTGCTTCCTCACAGCTCTCCTCACCTGACACCCTCCTTCCCGGAGCAGGAAAGATTCAGGGGACCAGGCTTGAGCCAGAGGCCGAAAGCGAGCGGTGACACCACCGCCCTGCGCCCTGGCGGTATCCACACCAACCCTGCAGTCAGAGAAGGCGGAGTGCTGGCCTTCAGGGACTCTGCCCCTGGGTCCTTCCTCATTTCTGTTGATACTTTGGGACTGGTCAGCTCTGACCTTGGCACTCAGTTGCTACTGCTTAACTGGGAGAAGTAAGGCCTTGGCCGACCATACAGACGATTTCAAAATGCTCACTACCTTCTAGACCGGTCCCTGGGGCCTGAGTCAGACAGCCCCACTCAAAGCCAGTGAGGTACCGGCCAGGCTCCGTAAGGAGGGAAAGAGGAAACAGCAGGGTGGAAGAGGAAGCAGAGAGCGGCTGGGGGAGAAGCTGGCAGTCACGAGGGCGTGGGGGAAGGGACCGCCACACCACAGGCACGCGCTCCGCCCGCCATGGGGGCCGGGCCCCAGCTCTCCCCCCGCGCCCGCTCTTCCTTTCCAGAGCAGCCCCTGCCCTCACCCGGCACCTCTTCACAGGGAAATCAGAGAAAGCCGCACGGCCAGCATCAGGCCCCTGAGCTGACGGGGGCCATGGCGGGACATGGAAAGGATGTCAGACCAAAAGAGGCTGAGTCTTAATTTCTGCTCCTGCCTCTGACTGTGACCTTGGGCAAGTTGTTTAACTTCTGAAGCCTCAGTCTGATCATCTTTTCAGCAAGACAGTACGCTCCTGCTGCAGGGGCTTGTCGCCAGGATTAAATGAGATAGGTGGATGTGAAGATACTGCCACCCAGCACGTCTCCTCTAAGGGAGCATTTGAAGGTACTTCTCCCACACGTTCCCATGGGTGGACGCCAGGGTGTGGCAGTGTAAGCCCTTAGCTAACTCCACAGGCGCATCCATCTGTCCCAGCTGCAGCTCAGCCCTGGCCTTTCCCAGCTCGCAAGGGCAGATCAGGGTGTGGGGAAAACAGCGCCAACGTGGGAGTTCACAGTCCCGCTCTTCCTGCCTGCCCAATCCACCGCCAGCCATTCCTGCTCATCCAGCTGCCTCATCACCTGGTCCCTCCTCCCACACGCTTCTCTTCTCCACGTCCTGAGCTGTCCACCTCACATGCCCCTGGGAAACGGGCCCAGCCCCAGAAGTATCTGCCACAGTCATCTTCCCTGCTGCCAGCTGCCCCCGGGCACGCCCACGCAGACACTGGCGCGGAAGGCAGGCACCTGCGCGGCCCAGAGCTGGGGAACCTGCAGGTGCCCTGTGGCTCTGGAACGCCATGGAAAAGCTATTCATTCTCATCCCGACAGAGGGGATCTGACAGGAGAAGGAGCAATAACACCTTCCCGGCGGAAACTCCTCGGCCTCCACACACCTGACTCCAGCCTCAACTCCAGGGACTGCTCCTGCAGCGCCCCACGCTCCTGTCGGCCGGAGCGCCACCTTTCCAGTCTGGAGACGGGAGACAGGCTATGTCTTCACCCCGTGCCTTTGCTGGCTCTGTGACCTCTGCGCAGAATCCCTCCAGGTCCAAGTCAAAGATCACCTTCTCCTCCTAAGAGGGCAGACTCTCTCCCTCCGCATACCCTGATAAGCACCTAGCAAGTGCTACGTAGGCCAGCGCCTGGCCAAGTGCTTTAAGCAGTTTCTCATTTAATTTCACTACACACTGTGATATAAGTACATCATTACTTCCAATTTACAGATAAGGAAATTGAGCCTTAGGGAGACTAAGTGATTTGTCCAAGGCCAAATGGCCATGCGATCTTTTCCCCATACCATGCTATTATCAGGAAGACGCGGAAAGACCACGGGCTTCCCAGTCAGCCTAACCTGGATTCAAATGCTAGCAATGTGACACCGGACAGGCTTACATAACGTCCCTGTGCTTCATTATCTCCGTACGTTCAGTGGGGAAGCCAACATTCACCTTGCACTTCTACAAGAATTACAAATAAACAATGCCTGGCACAAAGTAGTAGGAAAAGCATAGATAACAGTCAATAATTAATGTTCCCTATGAGGCTGGTGCTGATCTAAGTACTTTACACACTGTGCCTCACTGACACCTCACAACACTCGTATGACACAGGTGGTACTAATGTCCCCATTTTATATATGAGGAGTCCAAGACCTGGGCCAATCCACCTTCGGCTTCCTACCCTGTCTTCTTCACTTCTGCTTAAATGCCCTCCTCGGGGACATGTGAAAGCAGTAAAATGTGACAGACAGTTCATTTCTAGATTTCGGACTATAAGTCTTTGTTCTGTTTCCCTCCACCCCAGCCTGTGTGTTGTTTGGCACAGGAAAGGTGAGCTGAGTTAACATCTCTCTGTAATAATATGATCACTAACAATAACAAGAGCCACCGTGTATTACATGCTTCCTACATGCCGAGCAATTGGCACATGTAATCTCCAGTACTATGTGTCAGACATGCTCCACAAAGCAGCTTTCCTCAGCATTACCGCAGCTGACCTCTCCATTCCGCTGGCTGGTCCTCTGAGTGACACAGCACGAACAAAACATCACCCTTTGGCACTCAATACACAGACCGTGGCCTTCTAAAATTGCTGACTTATGTGTACACACCCTCTATCTACTTGATCCTTAGTTCCAGAAGGTCTTTGCAGGCCTCAGAGTTTAGCATAATAAAGTACCTGCAGTAGACCTACGTTTCGTGTTTGATAGGAATTCAAACCCATTCTCATCAGGGAGGAAGTAAAAGGACACCCATTGAGTACCCACGGTCAGCCACAAGGGGTCAAGTATGTTTACATATATTGTCACATTTATCCTCAAGAACCCACCTGATTTTTACAGACGAGGAAACTGGGGCGGGGTGGAGATAACTATTCAAGGCCCACAGTGGTGGAAGGACTTTAAAACAGGTCTGTCTAAATCTCAGAGATAGTGGAGGGCACAGTAGCCAAATTCATACTTTGAGGAGCATGCAAGTGACATGTGGTTGGAGAAAGTTGCGTAACACTAATAAAACACTGGTGTGTGACAGATTGTTTACAATGATCCGCTCTCCCCACCTCCCATTTTCTCTGAAATATCAGTTACTTTGGCTAAAGGATATAATTAATATACACAAATGAGACTCTGCTAGGAGCAACAGTGGCAGAGACATATGACTGTATGCATGAGAGTGAAATGTGTTTTTATTTATTAAGGGGAAAAAAAAGAGTTTTATCCTAAGTGAAATGACTGGTGAAATGAGAAAGAGGACAGTCAAGGACAAAACCTACTGGATACATTTGTAAAAGATTTGTGGAAAGGGAATTTGATTCTACTATGTGCAAATAATAACTCTGAAAATAAGCAATTAAATGTGTTAAAATTGGCTCAATTTTGGTGAGTTTATTCATGTTGTTTTTACAAAGAGAGACCTGGATAATGACAAAGATGTATTCTTTAGTCTTTTAAAAAGAGAGGTATTGGCAATAATTCAGGTTTATTTGATATGCTAATATTGATCAGTTGCATCGGAATAATTGTCAGATCAGAAGAGATACTCACCCTCCTCTAGGTTAAATTTATATAGGTAAATATTATTTATATAAACATTTCAGAAATTGTAAACTATACGCCGCATGAGAGTTCCTGGTGCCCTCTCTGTCCATGATGTTTCCATCTATCGGCACCTGGTGGTGACCTACCTGCTGACGACAGTGTAGTGTCACCAGCTGTTATTTCAGCTACGATTTAAAACGTTACTCGCTGGCTGCAACTTCTTAAATTTAAATCTAGCATCTTCCAGGCCATCAGTTTTCAAGGACTAATTCCAGACTTAACTGAATCTCTTTAGTTGATATTCTCAGTATATTATGTAAATTATGTCTCAGGGCTTTTGTATGCTATATCTTAAGATTTTTTTTCCCTCTGTAAAAATTATGTTCATCCATTTTTATAAATTAATGTAACATTCACTGTCTTCTTTGAAATTAGCCTTATTATGTTCTTAGACATTGTGTAGAATTTTTGTTTGTTTAGGTTGGCTTCTTTTTGATTTGTAGACCACAGGAGCAACCAAATTGCCTTGTCAGTTGCATTACCCTTATCATGAATTCTCATCAGATTGTTCACTTTTGAAAATTATCAGTAATAAGTTAACCAGCGCTTTTTAAGTCTCCGTCACCCACAGATAGTTTTTATTTTACTCTGTTGCTTCCTAAAGGCCCTGCAATCAACTATAGGATAGAATTTTATTTTATTTTATTTTACTTTACTTTATTTTATTTTTTTAGAGATGGGGTCTCAGTAGGTTGCCCAGACTGGAATGTAGTGGCTGTTATTCACAGGTGTGATCATAGCATAGCACACTACAGCTCCGAACTTCTGGGCTCGAGCAATCCTCCTGCCTCAGCCTCCCAAGGGGGGACTACAGGTGCTCCACCGTACCCAGCAGGCCAGAGATTTTATTGTTAATAGCCAAGAACTGCTCAGAACAGCACCGTACTGAGTACTTACTTTTAGGTACAGACTTTGAATGGCACTACTTAGATAACTTTGAGAACATACTAGTGGACTGACTCAGAAATTCCAGAACTCTTTAGTCAAGAAGCAGATGGGTTTTTGAGATTGCTAACCCAAGATTCAGAGGGACAGAACTAATCCCATAGGACTGAATTAACTGATAAAGGATGACTGTCTTTTATGTTTAAAACATTGTTGCTGTTGCTACAGTGTTCTATTTTCTGGATATATAAGGAAGACCTTTCTCTTTCTTCTTAGGCTATATTAAGCCATAACAATTTAGTGGACTCTGCTTTTGTAAACTGAAATGACATATTTATAAATATCTTATTCCCACTACCTAACTCCTCAGAATTCAGAAACTCTTATTGAGTCTTCTTGCTTTTAATGGCAACATGGTTGTTTGCATAGGTTTAATGAGAATCTGTCTTCTTTTACATCAAGACATAATTAGAAAAATTTGTTATACAACCATGGCCTTGCCTGGAATGTCATATTTGACAAGAATGCCTATTTAATCAGATATAGCCAGGAACTAACATTCACTGTATGGAGCCAATACTAATAGAACCCTCTCAAGAAAACTGGCTTTACTAGGTTCCCAGCTCTCTAAGTTAACTCCCTAACTGGCCCAGAAACCTTAAGATATTTGAGACCTTAAGAAGAGAGGAATTTGCCCGATTTTGTAGGTACACAAGGTAAAACCTGGTGGAAATAATTTCCTGGCTTGGCTTCCTAATCTCAGGATAATACATAGTTAAAGGCTTTTAAAAATCTAATCTAAGATTCCTTAAGAAAACTTCCAGTAAAGCAAACTGAACAAGGCCTATATGGTAAATTAACATTTTTGGTATACCTATATAAATAAATCAGATGAAATCTAATGACTGTTAGATTTTGTGACCAAGAATAATCTTTCTAGGATACTATTTTTTAAGTCAAAACAGGGAAGACAATAGAAAAAAAAACTGCGTGGGGAACCTGTAGCCTCCAAGCTACCTGTGGCCCTCCAGATCCCCAAGTGTGGCCCCTTATTTTACAGAACAAATCCTTTTAATAAAGGGATTTGGTCTATGAAGTTTGGATTTAGTCAAAAGGCTGCACTCGAGGATCCAGAAGGCCACAGGTTCCCTACCCCTTACAGATTCTAGCCTTTTATTCACTTTGAGCTATTTTACAATTCTTCAAGGTAATAGGTAACTGATAAATCATGCAAAATATGTCTATGAAGATAGTTTCAATAGTCTTCCCTCCCAACCTGTGGAAAAACCAGTTTGGTCTCAGTATTCCTGATCTGTAAATGGGTATGTTCTTTAGATTTTCTTTTTTAAATTGTGGTAAAATACATACATATATATATAACATAAATTTTACCATTTAACCATTTTTAAGAGTGGCATTAAGGATATTCACATTGTTGTGCAACCATCACCACCATCCCACTTCAGAACTGCTTTCATCTTCCCAAACTGAAACTCCACACCCATTAAGCAATAACTCCCCATTTCCCTTCTTGGATTCTCCTTTGAACCAGTTAGAACATCTGGCTCCTTCATTATGAGTAAAATAAAATCTTTAACACATGTTCATTTTTATATCCTTATGAGAGTCATGATTTTAATCTTTTTCTGAAAAATATTTTTTAATAGTCCCAAACTCAAAAAAGACCAGGTAAGTAATCCAAATTAGTGAAGAAGGTTGGAAGTGACGAAGACTGTCACCAGTTGGAAAGTGCCTAGGATCACCAACTGTCTTGCTCTGCCCAGGACTGAAAGGGTGGGGGACAAAAGACTTCCTGTTTCAACCAACAAGTTGGTCACCCTAAAAACACCAGCCCTATCTAAAAAGGACTCCTCAATCCTACTAATTTCATTTGGAAATTTAGGCCTGGTATTGCTACATCATCTATTTTTCAAGAGAAGCCAGGAATCTATTCTCGTTAAATTTTATAATTTGTAAATGATGGCGACTAACACAATATTTACCAAGTATGCAATCCAAGCAGACGGCTCCAGCATTTGAATGGCTCGGGGACACAGAGTCAGCAGAACATCTCCGTCCTGCCAGGCAGCCCCTGTGGTGGCCTTCTGTGGCCAGGCGGAAACTGGCACCAGCTCCCCCACTGGGGGGACCACCCAGATGTGGAGCAGCTGCCGCTCTGCTGAGAGGTGCGCCCTTTCCGGGGTGTCTCTCAGCGCCTGGACCCCTCAAGGCAAGCTCCCAGGACCAGTGAGTTCTGGCCTTGGTGCTGCCCAAGGGCTAACAGAGACCGAAGAGGACACTCATGAACCCCCACGGCCAGCTTTTTACGCTGCCACCTGGCTTCCCTTCCCCAGCCTCCAAGTCCGCGTCCCCCAGGTGCTCAGTGACATGAAAGTGAGGTGCTCGGAAGGCTCCCCGGGGTGTGTGTGGCGGGGAGGATGGCAAACGGGAAGTGATGGAGACCCTTGCAGGCGGGCTGGTCTTTGGCAGTGTCCCGTGGCCCGCGGGCTGGGGAACGCGGCGGGCGCCGGGGGGACAGTGCGCGCTGTCAGCCTCCCAGGCTGGCGCCGCTGCAGGAGCCCGACTAGAGCCTGCCAAAGCCTCGAGCGGCGCTGGGGCCGCCCCAGTCCCGAGCCCTCCGGCGTCCCGCCGGCCGGGCGCTGCTGCCTGGCCGCCTCCCTCCCCCAGCCCGCTCACCAGCTGTCCCGGGAGAAGGAGCGGAAGAACCAGACACCCGGAGCCAGGGAGGACCGCATCTCGCCCGACCGGTACCCGAAGCTGAGGCGACGGAGGCGGGCGCAGCGCTGGGCGCGTGTCCCGGACGGGCTGTCAGCGGGGTTTAAATGCCCCGCCGGTCGGCCCGCCCTGGCCCCGCGGCCGGAGGTCAGCAGCCCCCGCCCCGTTGCACCTGACCGCCCTCGGGGTCCGGCCCAGCGCAAACCGGCTGGCCATCCCCCAGCCCGCTCGCTAGCACCGGAGTTTCCGTGCTGTGCTTCGCCTCCCGGGCCAGAGACTGAAGCTCTGTTTCTGGGGATCCTCTTTCTGCTCTGCACTTTCTGCCTCACCACCCTCCAGGGAAATGAAAGTAGCAACCCCAGACATTGCTCTATGTGACGTTCACGCCCGCCCACAGCTGTCCCCTCAGCACTTCCCATCCTGAGAAGCATGGGCCGGGACACAGATTGGGACACCGGGGCAGGAGGGCTAGAGCTGACGCTCAGTGATCCCTGCATCACACCGATCTGACTGCGGGTGCCTCCGGGAACGCAGGAGGTTTTTCAGGGATGGACAATATTTGGCCCCAAACACACCTCCCAGCCTCGGGCTGGAGCTTCCTGCTGTGCTCAGATTCCAGACCAGGTATTGGGCCAGCCAGGACTATACTAGTCCCTTCACAGACCCTGGTCTCCCACCTACTCCTGGAACAGTGTGGCAATCACTGCTGCTCTCCCTTCTGGAGGCAAGCAGCCAGGTGGCAGTGAAGGGCCAGGAGGGCCTACCAGCAGGGACTTCTGTGCCTCTAGCCTTAAGATTTCAGGGTATGTTTGCACATATAAGAAGATATTGTGAGATCCTTGTATGTGAACCCAAGGGTGAACGATAGAGGGGTGGAAAAGGAAGTATCCGCCTGGAGAATAAAGTTGTTAATAGAACATAAAATCAGAATGTGTCTGTGCAAATGGGTTTCAGCCCTAACCCCACCCTGCCCCTAACTTCTAGGAGTGCCCAGGCCCTAAGAGCAAGGTCGGGGAAATGATGCAACAGCTCCACCAAACAGGTTAGGACCCAGAATAATGGGCTTGGCTGCTAGCAGCCCTGGAAACAAGCGAAAAGAAGGTAAGCAGAGTTGTAAAACCTTCTTGTTAATCCCAGGCAGTCAGGGGCATAGGTCTGGCAGAAATGAAGAGGGCAACAAGCCAAGGACAAGAGGTAAAGGAAGAAAGGAAAGAAGAAAGGCCAAAGGAAGGGAGGCACAGATCAGCAGATTAAGTGCGGTGCGGAGAGTTGAAACACCAAAGGAAGAGTATTGCTACCAGCGGCTCACTTAATCAACTCCTTAATCTTACCACACTGTGCCTAGGTGTACGTTCATTGAATTCTTACAAGTCGGTTAGGTGGCTATTATCCATCTGGGTCAGGTGACTTTATCTTGGTTTGCCTGGGCAATCCCAGAAGGCATCTGTTGTCCCAGAATGTGCAAAGCACCAGCTCTGGAGTCAGTAATTCCAGGTACCCCAGGTTAAGGTACCCCCTTTCAAGAGGTCGAAACTAAACTGGAGGAATGAGCTGATACACCCAGGAAGATAACTACTTATTTCTAAAGGACCAAAGGGAAGGATAAACTTGGAATACCAACGAGCCAAGGCAGCTGAAGTTACTCGAAGCTACATGGGGGGAGTGGGCGGCCGCCACCGGAGGAATGGAAGAGACCATCTCTAGAGCTGCACAGGTGCTGTCCAGACTTCAGTAGTGTGGAACTTCTGTCTTTCCATTCCAGATAGTGAGAAAGCAAGGAATAAAGGTCACTACTGCTCATTTTTCATTGCCCCTCTGGAGAAGCTGTGTTCCTGCTTCTCAGGACCACGCTTGCCTGGGCTGGACCTCTCAGAAGGCATTAAGAACACACCGCATGGTAGTATGGCCATTATTCATGGTGTGTCAACAAGTATCTGGGAGTAGGGCCAGTCCTGAAACAGTCTTTGCCTGGACCCTGTTACTTGCTGTGAATTCCAGCCACATATCCCTGTTCAGAGACCGGGATGGCAGTGGAAATTAATGTTAATTTCCTATTAATGTTGGAGTCTTCCTCGCTTGCTCCTGTAGGTAAGTTGGACCATCTCTTTGCTTCCTGCTGGTTGAGGGAGTGACAAAGAGGGATACTGTGGCTCAGGTACCCCTTTACTCAGCTATGCACCCTCACCACTCTTGACTCACCTTCTTGTGATGGGCACCTGTCCACACACAACCCCCTGGAGCCCTGCAGGATGTGGACAGTACCTGAAGGAAATAAGGAGGGAAGGGAGGGGCTACTGAATCAGACACTAAAGGAAAAATCCTCAGTTCCTATATGGATAGCCCTGTAATTTGTCAAAAATGCTTACTATGGTTTAGTATCAGACACTTCTGAGAAAGGAGCCATTTTACACATCAGATCTCTGTTCCAACTGCTAGCAAGTTTCGCTGGCCACCCACAGGACTCTTTGGGTAGTCAGTTAGCTATTTAGGGCCTTTTAGACATGGAAATAAGTGTTGTCCCTGGTTTTATCCAAATGGACAGGAGGACCTGAATGCTTGAGAAAGTCTATGAGGACAAATGCCATGTGAACAAACCTCTAGGCAACAGAACCCCCAAATTTACCACAAACACCAGCTTCGTTCTTTGAACACATTTCCCTCTTCCCACTGCTGTCTTACTAAATAGAGAATAGCATAATTTTTTGTAATAGAATCAAAACCTGGAGCCTTGAATGAGGGGGTATAAGTTCGGATATTAGGAGAAATTGTGATTATGCAAATTACTCAATCTTTTAAAGATTCAATTTGATATTAGACCTTTTTACTGAAAGGCAGAGTGGTATAGTGAAAAGAACATGGGCTTGGAATCAGAGCTAATTCTGGCTCACGTACTTACTACTTCTCTGTCTCTCAGTTCCCTTATCTGTAAGATATTGATAATAGCACCTACCTTGCAGGGTGGCTGTAAGAATTTAGAAATTATACATACAAAAAGTGTAACAGTGCCTGTCCATATTAGTTTTGGTAAGTGCAGTAATTATTATATATATATGAATTCATATACAGTATTGGGATCAGATATTGACTACAGCTGAGAAAAACCAATAGCCATAATAAATGAGAACAAAATATAGGAGTCAAAGGATCAGAGTCCTTAAAAGGGATCAATGGGCATAAGAGAATATGTTTGACCAGCAAAATCCTTAATATCATGTGTTTGTGTCTGTATCTGTGTATGTAGATACACATAACTTAACTCATTGAGTTACTGTAAGAAATCTCACTGAGAAGAGTTACTACTAGAACCCTCCCAGCCAACACAGTCAAAAGATAGATAAGCAAGGTGACCACATATCCAGAAAGATTTTGTTTCTCAATAAAAGTGAAAGTTCTGGGGTGTTTAGCAAAGAAAGTACCTGCCCTGATGCAACTGGCCAAAAGCAAGGGCTTCTGTCTAGTAAAGACAAGATCGATGGTTCAGAATGGCCTGAAGAATGGGCTTTGGGGACCACATCACCCAACCAACAGGACAGCCCTGCTCTCAAATGGTCAACCTCCTGGGGATACCAGTGGTGGCAGCAGGTATGTATGAAAACAGTCTGAAAGCCAGAAGTCCTTAAGAAGGAAGAAAATGGCAGGACACGGAAGTGGTTAAATTATCATCATACTTTCCCAAAGTCACTTCATTTAGAAGAAAAGTTATAAGGAACATATGGTAATGATAAAAGCCACAGCTAACAACAAGTTTTGGTTGCTCTAGTATCTGAAAGTAACCACTCATTTATTCATTTAATAAACATTTGTTGAGTGCCAACTATGCGTGCCAGGCGTGGTGCTATGTGCTGAGGATACACTGATAAGTAAGACAGGCACAGTCCAACCTCGAAGAATTGACAATTGAATGGGACAGAAATGTATAGAGACAATCCCACCTCAAAGAGCTCTGGTAGAACAGATCAACTCAAAGAAGAAATATTAAATAAGTTATCAAGGTATGTTCATACTGCTAGGGTGGCACTGAGAAGGGATCAAATAACTGTGGTAGAGTGTCAGAAGACTTCACTGTAGTATTAGAAGAAGTAGGTTTGAAGAAATGCAAGGTGCGTGCCAACAGGGAAGAGGATAAAGGTAGGACTGACCAGCAGATTGCAGATGCACTAGCATGAGCAAAACAAGGAACCATGAAAAAGCACGCTACACTAAAGAAATGGTGCGTAAGAAATTCTTTGTAGCTGGTGAGGACATGTACATGGTGGGCAGCTGCAGAAGACATGATTGTTTTTACTTGTGGTGAGATAGTGAAAGGTCTTTTTTTTTTTTTTTTGAGACAGAGTCTCGGTTTGTTGTCCAGGCTAGAGTGAGTGCCGTGGCGTCAGCCTAGCTCACAGCAACCTCAAACTCCTGGGCTCAAGCAATCCTTCTGCCTCAGCCTCCCGAGTGGCTGGGACTACAGGCATGCGCCACCATGCCCGGCTAATTTTTTATATATATATCAGTTGGCCAATTAATTTCTTTCTATTTATAGTAGAGACGGGGTCTCGCTCTTGCTCAGGCTGGTTTTGAACTCCTGACCTTGAGCAATCCGCCCGCCTCAGCCTCCCAAGAGCTAGGATTACAGGCGTGAGCCACCGCGCCCGGCCTGAAAGGTCTTAAATATCAACATTAAGGGGTTAGAATTCGCCGGGTGTGGTGGCTCACACCTGTAATCTTAGGAGGCCAAGGCGGGTGGATTGCTCGAGGTCAGGAGTTCGAAACCAGCCTGAGCAAGAGCGAGACCCAGTCTCTACTATAAATAGAAATAAGTTAATTGGCCAACTAATATATACAGAAAAAATTAGCCAGGCATGGTGGCACATGCCTGTAGTCCCAGCTACTCCTGAGATTGAGGCAGTAGGAATGCTTGAGCCCAGGAGTTTGAGGTTGCTGTGAGCTAGGCTGACACCACGGCACTCACTCTAGCCTGAGCAACAGAGTGAGACTCTGTCTCAAAAAAAAAAAGGGGGGGGGTTAGAATTTTATCCTTTGGACAGTTGGGTGCTTTAAGAGGGTTTTAAGAAGGGTGGAGATAGGATCAGATTTGTGTTTTTAGAGGAGAAATGGCCATTTAAAAGCACTTTGTCAAACACCAGTTATGGATAAAGATGCAATAGATACACTTCTGTTCTTTTCACAAAGCACCGCTAAATATACCGTTTTATGTATAAAGCAAACACAAAGCTCAGAAAAGCAGATTAACTAGAGACTTGGAAGTCTGAGGAAAGACACAGCAATGGGTTATCTGGATGAGTGGAGAGTTTGGTTTTTGCTTCATGTATCCTGGACTGTGCTGGAGAAGCCAGCACCGGAAGCACCAATGGCACAGACCAAAAAAAAAAGCTTCCAGAAACACTGGCTCTGTGTAGTCAAAGGACCAAGAAAGGGGTAGCCTAGTATTAGGGTCAACCTACTCCAAACAAAAACACTGCAGCCCCACCCCAGTCTTATCAGCAAAGGCAAAGTGGGGAACCTAGACTTCTACATGCACCTGGCTGTATTGAGGGGTGCCCCACCCCCGCCCCACCCCCAATGTGTCGTGTGAGGTCACGCGGGGAGCAGAAGGAGGCAGCTTCCCCCGCCACACAGGGTGGTGTCAGAGGAGGCCTAGCGGAGAGCTGGAACGCCTGCTCATCCAAGCGGCAATTCGGTGCCCTTCCCTAGCCCCCTTAAGGGTGTCAATTGAGGCCAAGTGGGAAACTTGAACTTTTACCTCCTGATACCTGGCAGAATGGATAAAAAAACATGATCCAAATGCATGCTGCCACTTTCCTAAAGGACTAAAAGGCACTTACGATACCCTTTGTAGCACTACTGGGCACTTACCCCAAACAAGTGAAAATTTCCATCCATACAAAAACCGTACGTGAATGTCCACAGCAGTCTTATCTATACTATCAAAAAACTGGAAATAACCAAAATGTCCCTCAATAGGTGAACAGTTAAACAAACTGTGGTATATTCATACCATGGAATACTACTCAACAATAAAAAGAAATGAACTTTTTTTTTTTTTAAGAGACAGGGTTTCACTGTTGCTCAGGCTGGTCTCAAACTCCTGAGCTCAAGCTATCCTCCCACCTCGACCCCCCAGAGTGCTAGGAAGAAATGAACTATTAATATACAAAACAACTTAGATGGATCTCAATGGTATCATGCCAAGTGAAAAAAATCAATCTCAAAAGGTCACATACTATATGATTTCATATATACAACATTCTCAAAGGGACAAAATTACAGAGATGGAAAAGAGATTAGAGATGAGTAGGAGTCAGGTAGGGTATGGGTGTAGCTTTATGGGGTAACACAAGGAAGATCTTTGTGGTGATGGGATAGTTCTGCATCTTGATTGCAGTGGTGTTTGCATGAATCAACACTTGTGATAAAATGGCACACACATACATGATGTATCAATGCCAACTTTCTGGTTTTGATATTGTGGTTTAGCTATGTCAAACATAATCACTAGGGGAAACTGGTTAAAATATACCCAACATCTCTCTGAACTATTTTGTACTCCCTGTGAATCTATACTTATTCTATAAAAAAGTTTTATAAAACTTGGGGGGGAAAAGCTCTTTGTTAACCTTTAATTCCCTTCCAGTAGTTCTCAGTTTGCTAATGCTAGACATGGGATGGCAGAAATTTACTTTTTAAATAAAACTCTTTCCCTTTGAGAATATGCTATGAAACAGCACTGTCAGCTGCCTGCATTAACTCAAGTTAATATCTAGCTCACACTCATCGGTATGGATATCAGTACTGTGCCTCAGATTCCAAGTTAGTATAACTCTGTTTTTATTGAACAATTTCCTCTGCACCTTTGGAGGACTAGGAGATAATACTCTTCCCCATTCCTCAGACAAGAAAATTTAACCTACAGAGGAGAACAGGCATGCCCGAATCACACAGCTGTGATAGTGGAAAGATGAGATATCAGCTCTCCCCAGGGGCCACTCCATTTGTAGAAGCAGATTCCTTCTTAGCACGTGGGATCAGCCTCTGTCCCTGTGACCAATTAAGCCTAAGATATTGCTCAAGGAGACTGTGAGAATGCCCTCCTGCCTTACACTGCCCCTGTCTTGGGTCTACAATTGGGAATACATTCTTATTGTAACATTGTGAAGCAAGAGGAATGAAACAGGGAGAACAGGTTGAACAAATGAAAATTGGAAATTGGGTTTAGAAATCAAAAAGCATGTGACTTCAAGAACTATGATGCTTTTAACAGGCAAGGACTGGAAGGCCTTCAAGGGAAGAATGTCACTATAAAGATTAAAGAAGGCCTGAATAAATAAACCAGAGCTCCACAATAAAGACCAGAGATAGTTCTGCTGCCCCAAGGTACCGATGGCAGCAAAGACAGGCCCCAGATCTGGAAAAACTCTTGACTCTTTGATCTCCTTTGCCCCAGCAAAATCTTCATCCCAGAATTTCTTTTTTTTTTAGACAGAGTCTCGCTTTGTTGCCCAGGCTAGAGTGAGTGCCGTGGCGTCAGCCTAGCTCACAGCAACCTCAAACTCCTGGGCTCAAGCAATTTTGCTGTCTCAGCCTCCCAAGTAGCTGGGACTACAGGCATGTGCCACCATGCCCGGCTAACTTTTTCTATATATATTAGCTGGCCAATTAATTTGTTTCTATTTATAGTAGAGACTGGGTCTCGCTCTTGCTCAGGCTGGTTTCGAACTCCTGACCTCAAGCAATCCACCCGCCTCGGCCTCCCAGAGTGCTAGGATTACAGGTGTGAGCCACTGCGCCTGGCCTATCCCAGAATTTCTACACAAAACTCTTTAGCATTGGCCTCAGACCCTTGGCTCCTAGTACACTGTTGACACTCCTTGTAAAATACAGAAAGGACAGGATACAAGATTCAGGAGTCAAGACTGAGATTGAAATTCCTGGGAGAAAGAGTCCAGATCCCAGACCTACCTTCTTACAAATTCTTATTCTAAGGCCCAGATGTCCCCTTCTTCAGAATTACGTATCATTCATATGTTCCCTGTATGCCAACGTGTGCTCTAGTAATTTCTATTTTCTTAGCACTATTACTAAACCTTTCTTCCCCCTTCCTAGTAATGAACTGGAACAGGTACTTCCCAGTTTATTATGACAGATCTTAAGCCAGGGAGAGGTGGCTATGCCCAGACATCTCTAGAAAACCCAGAAAACATACCAATTTCTTTCAAGTTTCTGTCTTGCTTTATCAAATCTTTGTCTGTTGCACAGAATGAGAGATAAGGCACACACATTTCAAATTTTTAAAAGCCAATCAGGTTGAAAACAGATGAACTATGAATGAATATAGTCCATTTAATTAACAAGTATTTTTAAAAGTCCAATCTGAGATTTCTTAGGAAAACTTCCAGCAAAGCAAACTAAAGGTCTATATGGTAAATCAACCTCTTCTTGCATCTGTAGAAATATTAATAATCAGATCCAATCTAATGAGATCAGCCTTATTTTGTAATCAAGAATAGTCTTTCTCTGAGGCTATTTTTTATCAATACAGGGAGGCTATAGAAAAAAATGTTGTTTCAGTAGAAAATTATGCATTGTCTAGAGAACACCCCTCTGAAGTTATATAATTTGAGCTTATAGTTCTCCTAGAATTATTTTACAATTCTGCAAATTGTGGGAAAATGTGAAAAAGACCAGCTTCACCTACATTTGCACATTCAAGCCAACATTCCTCTACTCGTATAAATTTGTACATTTTTTCCTTTCCCTGAAATCAGTAATAACATCCACTTACTTCCCTCATGATTTAAATAACATCTTTAGCACATGTTCATTTTTATATCTATATGAGAGTCATGATTTTATCTTTTTCTGAAAAGTATCTTTTAACATACAAACAATTATCACGGAAGGCAGGAAACCTACCTGCCAAATAGAGTTTACAAGTAATATACTGTGGTTGGACAGGTTAATTGCTTCTGATGGAAGAAATCAGATAACTTTCCAGAGAGCAGGTGATAGGAGTACTTTGCTTTAAGGGTTATTAGAATTTTAAAATTGAGAATTTGAAGAACATTTCAGGTAAACAAAAAGCCTGTTAATTCTAAGAGACGCTCTTGCCAACTGACCTTAAATGCCAGCACCCAGTTTCTAGAGTCCCAAGCAGAGGCCAGCATCAACACCATGATATTCATGTAGGGGCAATACCCAACTTGGAACCATTCCCAGTGAATCTCCCAACAGATCATCCGACCTGGCGAGGCTTCTTGTCTCAAGTACTGAGCGAGGAAGGGCTCCTGGCAAATACAAAAGCATGAGACATGATGGTAACTAGGGTAAGTGGCTCATCCATTCAAAGCAATGTGTCTATTTCCTGTATGTCATATAGCAGATCTGTACCACATAATATACTATAGCCTAAACAAATCCCCTCTCCCTTGCTGCCTCAGTGGGCCAGGTAGGTAGTGATATGAATCCAACTGTATCTTACTTCTGGAGTGGAACTAAGTTTCATTAACAGCTATTCATCTATACATTTCCATTTTGCAAAAGGTCAAGAGGAAGAGGTGAGTAAGTGGTTCAGAAAGTGTTATGTTTAGAAAGGTACATATTTACAGAGCATTACCTAAGTCTCCAGCTATCATTGTTTACCTGTGTCGGATGACATTCTTTGATGAATGGAGTCTACTAGATCAATAACAAATACCTTCACAGTTATCAGAGACTTATGTCTAGCTAAACTACTGATTCCTGTTGTGTTGGCTCAAGCTCCAATCTTGCTCAACTTTAAACTTTCTTCCCTTGATCTTCCATCATTCATCTCAGTCTCAGTCCTACTCTTTGCCTTGTGTCTGCCTTCTCAGTCTCTGCTCTGTTTCTGGTTCCCACTAGTCTACAATCTTTGACCCAAGTTACTTATAAGGCAAGAATAAGAAGTTACAGCCATGTGGAACAAGACTACTTGATCCTAAGCCCTAAAAGACGAGCTGTATCACAGTCAAGTTTTATGTGTAGTATGTAAAGTCCTAACGTGTGACAGAAAAAGTTGTATTGGTCACCTACATAGCAAATGCTTTGAACTCCTTAGAGAAACCACTGTGCCTACCTGGGAAAACAGGGTAGACATGTCCTCCTCCAGCTAAACCATAACTCAATCTTGGCAATGTGATAAGGTGGGTGGAACTTGTCAGATGAGGGTACCTAGAGCTTTGAACCAGGAAGGATTTAGACATAGGCATCATCTAACCCGCAGGCTGAGCAATAAAGAAGGCGTGCTAATTTGCAATTTAAATGACACACCCATCTATTTGGCAAACTCTCTCTTCCTTTGATCCTCCACCTTCAAAAAAAATCTGGTTTTAGTGGCAAGAAAGCTCAATGTAGGTTGGACCACTGAATAAAATCAAGTAACTAAATACAAATCAAATGTTAATGCAATCATAACCTAGGGACACAGAAAACTTCTCTTAGGCTGTAATACAAAAGGCCAAATTGGATAGCCCTGTGTTCCTTTGGCTAACTAGCTCATTCTGGCTAAAATATCTGAACATCAAGGATTCTATGTACAGAATGTAAGAGATGAATGCCATGTATCTTGAACTATTAAACACCAAGAACAAGGAATGAGTAAGAATATTCAGATATAGGACCAAGGACATATCATGGTAGTGGTGATGATGACAACAGAGATAATAATTCTGATATTACTGTCCAACATTTACTGTACCTACCATGTGCCAGCACTATGCTAACTGCTGTATATGCACTATCTCATTGAATTCTCACAACTCTATGAGATAAATACTATTACTGTTCTCATTTTGCAGATGATAAAACTGATGCTCAGAGACCCTAAGTAACTGGCTTAAGATTACACAGCCAATATGTGGTAGAACCAGAATTTAAACTGTGATCACAATCTGAACCACTGCACAGACTACCCCACAGCAATAGGGCCTTTGAAGACAGCAAGAAAGAGCTTTGAGAACAAAGAGCAATTTTTTCAATCTCTAGAGACTCTATTCAGAGGCAAGATAGAAACACAAATGACTTTTAGTATCCATGAATTGAACTACATAAATAATCTCTTATCCCCAGCTCACCTTAAGATTTCAAAGCCGCTTTTATTTACTAAGTGACTATTTTGTTCTTTTTGTCATTTCTATCCTATGATCTATATGGTCTTTCATCCTTGATTTCTCAACTTTTAAATGCCTGGGAATTCACCAGATATACTCCATAAAACCAGGTGACTGGATGTCTATCTGATTACTCAGGGTGTGAGCTACATTAAGGGGCTTCATACGGATCTGGTCTCTGGAATGAACCTAATTTCTATTTAATCAGCCTTTTTTATAGAAGGCCACATGGCACTGTAGGCTCTAGGTTCTAGTCACTGCTTGATAATAACTATGTCAGAAATCTAAGAACTAAGGGATATTACTTTCTCATTCAAACCTCCTATTATTTGGGAGGGTAGAGAGGAGGACAGTTATACTGTTAACAAAGTCATTTCGGGCTTAAGTTTTTTGAAGTAAATTACTTTAAAAAATTCAAACATACACTAAAATACAGCGAACAGGATGATGAAACCCCACAAACCTGTACCTACATTCACTATTATCAAGCTTTTGCTAGACTTACTTAATCTCTTTTTTGTCCCATTTTATTGGATTATTTTAAAGTAAATCTCAAATATAATTTTATTTCAACCCTATATAGTTCAGTATCCATCTCCATATATTTTCTTACATACAACCATAATGCCATCATCATACCTAACCAAATAAATCACTTAGACTGTATTCAAATTCCTGACTACTTCCAAGTTACCTTTTTCAGACTGTTTCTTCACATCAGGATCCCAAACAAGGTGCATACATTATATTTCGTGGTACTATCTCTACTAATCTCTCTTAATCTACAGCTGTCTCCCCATTTTTTAAATTGAAGCCATTAACTTGCAGAAGCCATTGGTATCAGTTTTCCTATAGAATGGCCCATATTCTGGATTTCTGTTTCTTGTGGCATAATTTAACTTGTTTATTTCTATTTCCTATAAATGGAATCCTTGCAGCTTTTCTCTTTACATATTGTCATCATCTAAACCAGAAACTGATTTCAATGACTATTTTCTCAATCCCCTCAAGGATGGTACATAACTAGTACCATTCTAGGTGAATAGGAGAGAAGTTAATTTATTATTTTAATACATACAATGGATTCCTTAGAACATTACAGCTTAATTTTCTCTCAGACCCCAGATGAGAAAGGCTGAAAGGCTTGACTATATTCAGTTTCAATCTTTATTCTTTTGGCGAAAACACTTTATAGAAGGCCTTGTATGCTTCATATTGGATCACATCAGTAGGCACACAATGTCTGCCTCTGTCTCTTTTAGTGATGTTAAGACATATTCATGGGTTCAGTTGTCTAATACATTTATCCATTAATTATTTTGGTAGATGTTTAAGCATGAAGGGGACCTATGGCAAGAATTGAGTGGTAACTTCTACCAGGAGTAATCTCATCTTGGGGCCTGGAAAAGATTGATTCCTTTTGAGTAAGACAGTTTGTGGTACAACACCAACTGTCTTACTCAAAAGGAATCAATCTGATGATTTCTCCTTGGCATACTCCTCTAATAGTAATAATACTGAGAGCGAGACCAGAGATGGACCATTCATTTCTACCCTGAGAGTTTTAAAAACCTAAAATCAACCTATTTGAAGTTTTTTGCCCAGCAGAATGGGCCCAGCATTCCAGTAGGATATTTGCTTTTGTCTTTCTCTATATTTTCGAATCCCAAACGCTTTTCTCTAAGCATGAAAAAATATCCAATATAGTACACAAAGCAAGTGATGCTCACTACACTTAAAAACTAAAAGAAATATTTTGCTTCCAAACACAGACTCTATGTAAATAAACCTACATAAGAAAAATAATACCTGCTATCTCCTTTTTTACATCTTAAATGCCTAGAAGATATGAAAGCAGCAGTTTTTAGCCTCTGCACCAATAGTCAATAAAGTTGTTGGGTAGTCAATAAAGTTGTTGACAGTCTTATTCCTGCCCATCATAAAAAGGCTTAAGTAGGTAAGGGTGACGCCTGGACAATTAAGTAATATACTGAAACAATGCAAGGGAGAGAATAAAGAAGTTTACCAAATCAAAGCAATTGGCACAAAATGTTTCAGGTTGGACTGCTCAGGAAAACATGCTGTATGTGCTTTTTGATGGTTATTACAGGAAAATTGGTACATGTATATCCCCAGCTACTACCATAATCCTGGAATTGCCTCTATCACACACGGTTCTCTCTCTTGGCACGGATTCTAGAAATTAATAAAGTTCCCTTCTGGGTAAGAACCAAAGCTATACTTTTATGGGGTTGTGCCTCTCCTGCTGGACTTTCCCATACTCTCCTAAACCCTTCTATTCTGCCTTCCTCTTTGACCTATAAAAATTGCACTACTCTGAGAACACGATCAGTGCTGGATTCGCAGTAGTGGAAAATAAACTTGTACCGCCCTTATGTCATTGTCCACAAGTAAAAGCTACCACGAGTCCACATCTCAGCATGAAGAGTGAATGCACTGAAAAATGAGAAGTCAAAAGTATAAAACATAATTAATAAATTCATAGACTGCTGAAGCTACAGGAGAGATGGAGGTCACTTAGTATATAACCTTCTTATTTTACAAAAGAGAAAACTGTTGCCCAGAGAAATTAAATTATTGGCACCAAATCATAATGGCAATGAGGAAATGGAAAACAAAGCAAAATGATTCCTAATGACTTTTTTTTTTTTTTTTTGAGACAGAGTCTCGCTTGTTGCCCAGGCTAGAGTGAGTGCCGTGGCGTCAGCCTAGCTCACAGCAACCTCAAACTCCTGGGCTCAAGCAATCCTGCTGCCTCAGCCTCCCGAGTAGCTGGGACTACAGGCATGCGCCACCATGCCCGGCTAATTTTATATATATATTAGTTGGCCAATTAATTTCTTTCTATTTATAGTAGAAACGGGGTCTCGCTCTTGCTCAGGCTGGTTTCGAACTCCTGACCTTGAGCAATCCGCCCGCCTCAGCCTCCCAGAGTGCTAGGATTACAGGCGTGAGCCACCGCGCCCGGCTCCTAATGACCTTTTTGAGTAAAGATTACATTAGGTAAAACTACTAATCATGTAGGAATATTTGAAATTTTAAAAAGACATTTATTCATCATTTAACAAATATTTATTAAGAGCCTATTATGTGCCAATCATACCCTTAATAACTGGAGATGTAGCACTGAACAAAAA